GAAGAGCGGAGCACCGTAGTCCTTGGAGGTGCGAATCGTGGCCAGAGGGGCATCTCGTGCTGCACAAGGACCCTTCGCTGCCAGAGGGCCTGGTGAGCTAAGGCGGTCCTTCGCGTGGTCAGGAGGCGAGGCAGACACGCGAAGGGATCCTCGCGAGCGTGCTTGGCTCGATTCCACACGTGGAGCGTGTTTGGACCCCTCTCCGTTTATGCAACCATTGCTGGTTGTTTATGTGACCTAGCCGAACCGGGTGCGCGAGCTGGCATTCTGACCAGCCCAGGTTTCCTATTCACAATACACGCGAAGCCAATGCGCTTGGAGTCTCACGAGTAAAAACAGAATCTCTGGGGCGCGCGGTCGGGATCGCTGCAGGGCAGACTCTGCGTTCAGGGGCGACTCGGCGAGCGAGTTGGGGTTCGAATACCGCTGAGGCTGGAAAGCAGTTAATCCGGCGTAGGTTGTTGTGTTTTTGTTTGTAATGTGCGCACCCCGGTGGCAGGCAGAGGCGCCAGGTGACGGTTTCCGTTCCCTCTTCTGCGGGAGAGACAAACGCGTGGCCGAGCGCGAGTTCATTTGGGAAGCCGTTGGCACCTTCCGCAGGGCGAGAGGACATCAAGGAGGTCTTCAGCTCTTAATGGGACCCCCGAGCCCGCCACCTTTGAAGAAAGGCTGACCGAGAACGGGGAAACGGCGCTGCTGCCGGGGGGGGGAGGGGGCTCACTGTTTGTGGGATAGGATCAGGGGGGCCGTCGTATGTTCTCGCTGACCAAGAAACTAATGGTCTCCTGGAGGTGCCTCAATTGGAGAGATTGTCCTGGGGTGTGGGTGGAAAATCCTCTTTCAGTTGAGGGAAGTGTCATTCCACTCAGTCTTCTGATCACAGCGGTAATGTGCAAGGCTGTCTAGAAGGTGGGTAGCAAAATGCTGGGGAGTCAGTGTGTCTGGGGGGCTCTCAGCGGCTATTCTGATAGCACCTATGTGGCATCTTCCTCCTGTTCCCTTCAGCTCATAACACTGACAGATGTACTGACTGAAGATTGAGATGTGTGTGTCAATGCTCCCTCTAAGCTGTGGAGTCTTGTGAGCAAAAATTCTACTCCGTGAGCTACTGGCATTAAAGTGGTGAGGGAGCGATTTGGCCGCTGCATCAGTTAGTATGCTCTGGAGCCCTCCTTCCTGAGCGAAGACAAAAATGTGTGAGTCAGAGGCTAAAAAACTGTGAGCTAGCTCACACTAACTCAGCTTGGAGGGAACACTGGTGTGTGTGTATTCTGTTTGGTTAGGGTTGCTAGCTCCGGGTTGGGAATACTTGGAGATTTAGGGGGTGGAGCCTGAGGAGGGCTGGGCTTGGCGAGGGGAGGGGAGGGGAGGGATGTCAAAGGGGTATACTGTCATAGAATTCACCTTCCAAAGCAGCCATTTTTCAAGGTGAAGTGATCTTTATCTCCTGGAGATCAGTAGTAAATCCATGAGATCTTCAGCCACCACCTGGAGTTTGGCAACACTATGTTTGGTGTATATGCTAGCTAAGGGCCTGATTTGTATCTAGCATTTGCTCCATTGTTTTACCAAACCCCCACTGGAACAGAAAAAGATGCGGCTCAAAACCACATTCAGATACCCCGGGCCAACACCATACTGACTGCAGAGTCACCCCTGAACGGCCATAAAATAGCCATAAATCTATGCAGACAGTTCTAATAAAACTGAGAGATCAAACAAAGTGAAAGTGGCATGCAGTCTGGACACTGCCATAAGATCCGACAATCAATCAAAGTGAAAGCGGCATGCAATGCAGAGGGGAATTTCTGCTCCGATGTGGGTTTGGTGAAACAGTGGAGCGAACGTTAGATGCAGATTGGGCCAAGGCCTTATGCCTTATAGGGTCTCAAGTGTGGTGCAGAACCTCATGAAATGGTGGTGTTGTCTGTGTATGTGAGGCCTCTGCGTAAACCCGAACAGCTCATCAGGTTAGGTGAAGGCACTTTGCATTACAGTGTTAAATAGGTCATGGCAAATTAATAAGCTGTCTAACTGGACATTAGGTATGTATTATGCATGCATAAGAGTCTGGATGCCCAGTGGCCTCCCCCCCCTCCATTTTCAAATAGCAGAGTTGGGAGGAAGCAATTGAAATAGGAAAATTAAGGAATGGGGGAGCAGCTACTTATCCCTTTCACATCTGCTGCCCTCCCAAGTAACTTTTTCACTGCAGGGCTTCAAATGCATATTTGGTCACAATTGGCTCCTGCCTTTCCCATCCCTTTCATACTGTAAGGCCATGGTTATGCAGTCTCCATGGCTGAGGTATGTATATGAAAAGGCATCTTCATCCATGTAGCATACAAATACTGAACTAAGGCCCCGGTCACATGAGAGGTTTTGGGCCGGGAGAGGGACGGATCGGGGGCGGAGCAAACGGACGCGATCCCACCACAACATCTAGGAAGTCTTGCGCACCCGTCCCCGATCCGGCCCTTCCGCCCAAAACGGCGTGGCAAAAATAAACCACCTACCGAGGTGGTTCTTCTGGCAAGTCCGCATCAAAGCCAGCCGTGGGATCGCCGGCAACGTCCTTCCGCCGGCGCATCCCCGACTCCTGGCCAAACTGCACATGCTCAGACATGATTGTCTGATTGTGCCGGGGAGCAACGGCGCCGCGGCTCGGGATCCGTGGGATCCCGCCGCGGCGTCTCTATTTTGGTGCGGCTCTGATTAGCCGCACTTTGCCCGGGTTTTTTTCTGCCGTATGGCAGGGACCTAAAAGGAATAATGAGTTGGATGACCCTTTGAAATTGCTTTGAAAATTCCATGTTCTAATAAGCAACCTAAATTCGGGCCTTCAGTCTTTACCAGCTGCCCTGCTTTGCCTTCCAAGGGAGGTTCTCTTCCTCCAGGGCTACTCTAAAAACATCTTTATAAATAGCTAATTTAAGAGGCAAACTATCTCAAGGACATTCCCCCCCCCCAAAAAAACACCATAACTTTGGTACTAAAGGGCTGCTTTCCACAAAACAGCTGTATTTAGAAGCACGGAAAAGCCAGGTAATGCTTCCTTGTATGGAAAATCATGTGCCTCCTACATAACATTGTCACATGTAACAAACATACATATGTGGTTTATTATGCCATATGTGTGCTCATTGCACATGATACACATGTGATTCTGCAACATAGATTTGATTTCTGCATAGGAGATCCATGGTGGATCTGTGTTGTTACAGAAACAAAACTGGTGAGTCCTCAGACTTTGCATGCTTCTTCCTCCCTCCCTCCCTCACGTGTGACTTGGAAATTGAAGACTTCCAGATTCTTAACGATAGTTTATTGTTTCATACAAATATCAAGGCTCATTCCCATAATGTCCATGGGTTGTTATTGCATCTGAGTACAGCCGAGCATCTCCTATGTAGAAATCAATTCCATGTAGCACTGTCATGTGGGATAAGCATATATGTGGCAGTGTCACACATGATGTATGTATATATGATGCATTCATCATATATACAGTGATCTGTGTAGGGATCAGTAGATGTGAAGTGGTCTTAAGATGACATGATGGAATGCAGTTTACTTTTGGCTTCTGTTTTTTGTCTAAGGATTTGATCTCTGCCAGCAGTCCTCTTTCCTCTATAGAATCTTTCTCTTGCCAGCTTTGGGCAAATCTGGTCTAATGTCACAGGGGACCTGCCTTAGCCAAATCCACACAACCTTTCTGCCTGCCCTTGCTTAGTTGTGCTAATATTGTCAGCCTGCAGCCAGGCAATAGTTAAAGGCTTTGGACCTCTTCCTATTTGAATGTCAAAGTCCATGTGCAACCTACACGAACTTGAACCTTGTAACAGGCTTTCCAATGACATCTTGTTCATGTACACTGGCAGTGTACAGGATTAAGCCCCTCAGGCCAGTCCAGGGATGGGAGGTAATCCTGTACTTTTACAGTACATTAAACAACAACCCAAGAGGTAGGCTAAACCCTCTCTGGGTTCAGAACAGTATGCCACCAGAACCTCTACATTAGTTCCCCCCAACCTGAGATTAGAGGTTCAAACTCTCAGTTGGTATCTGGAACTTAACACATTAGCAACCCACTCAGAGATGCACACTTTTACTCTTACAAAGGTACCTTAAATGGTGAGCAGAAGGCTATAAGATTTAGACTTGGAACATCAGAGACCATTTAACAATCAGGAGGATCTTTATTCAGTGCAGAGCTTAGCATAGACTACCAGAGTTTACAAAATAACAAATCTAAGGCGATTTGTCTTAACTACACAGTAAAAGATACATATTTACCAAGTTCAGGAGCATCCAAACAGTCCAGAATTGTCCATTGTGATAATCCCAGTAGCACCAAGGGATTTTGAAGGGAAATCCCATCTTTGCACTCCATGTGCTTTAAGTCACAAAGCAGTCCTTTGTCTCTTCAAAGGACAGCATTTCGAGGTGCAATAAAACAAGCAGTCAGAATAAGAGCAAGAAGCAAGAGAGGAGAAGAGCAAGACAGCTCTCTCTCACTGGGATTGAACAATTATAGCCCAATTCCACTCATGACCAGCTGTGGCCATGCAGCCAATCACGAGTGGACATAGGTGTGTCCAATTGTTGATTGCCATAGCTGCAACACAGGAATGGCTAGAAGTTTGGAGACTCCTCCTGCAGTCAGGTGACCCAGCTTCTAGCTACTTCATTTAGTACATGATTTGTTGCATGTGAGGCAGAGGCAGGGGCCATCAGGTCTGCCTCTTCCCTTAGAGGTGTGAAAGAATGTGTGGTTATATGGCATGGTTATAAAGTTTCTCTGGCCAAAACAAGACACAGCATGTTATCAGAAAGACATCACAGGAGAAGGTATGGATTTGTAGAAATCGATATTTCTATACAGGCAGGTCAGAGCCTCTGTCTACAAAGTTTATGTGTATCATGTGGGGGTGTTATGAATGTGGGACGTGGCAGCAAGACAAGAGTCCAATGCAACTCTAAGCAGAATCCTGAGTAACTGCTCCGAATGGCATGGAAAATGTGCTTGCTCTGTAGAGGCAAACTGCTGGTACTTACCTTGGGTGATTTTTAAAACCAAGCTCACTAAGAGTGCAACCCTCATCACGTCTACTCAGTGAGACTTACCCCCAAGGAAACATTCTTAGGATTGCACAGGTAGCTGTGCAACTCAGAGAGGATGGGGCTACGGCATAGTTGACTGAAGTTCTAGTACAGAAGAGAAAGCTGAGAAAAAAGGATTCAGGTTTTGTCTTGTGATTTATATCCTGATTTTTTTCTGTAGAAGGCAAAAGGGAATGGCTGACTTCCTGGATGTAGGTTCTGTGGCTACAAAGCTAAGAAACACGCTCATCCAGTACTACAACACTGAAGATGATGAATGGAGAATGATTAAGGCCACAGTAAGTTACTAAACCTCAGCCTTTGTTGGTTTTCTTTGATAGTCAGACTTTTCCACGTGTCTGGAGTACTTTCCAGTGTTCAGAGTATTTCACACACATTACCTTATTATGGTAATGCAAGGCCAGACAGCATTACCATCCCCATGAGGCAGAGGAGGGAAGTGGAGGGCACTGAGGCTGAAAGAGAACAGCTTCCCTAAGGCCACCCAGTCAGTTCATGGCAGAGGTGAGATTTGAACTGGGGTCCACCTGATTCATAGCCCAGTCTGACCAGTATACTACACAAGTGAGTTGAGAATATGTGGTGTGATAACTTTAGAAGAAGAGGATGCTGAATGGGATTTTTAATGTTTCCACCGACTGTACCACTATGCAGAAAAAGCAGCGCAATATCTAAGGAGCTATGAAACAGACTCTCTTTCTTAGTATCATCTTGGGAAATTCCAATATCTTGCTTAACTGTGACTGGAGCTCTCATGAATAATTATCTCCCCGATCCAAAATAATCTTTAACAAAATTAGTCCTGTTTAGTTGAGTAATCTTTGAAATTTTGTCAAATGAAATGAAATCAAACCTTAATCTCCCTTCTTAGCTGTTTTATACTATTATATGTCAATGCACCTCCAATGGTCACTGATGAAAGGTGGTATTACAATGATGCGGCTGATGACAGGGCCCATCCTAACAACTTAATGGTGGTGCAACAAGTTTAGTTTTCCAGAGGACTTTTATTCTCCGGTCATTTCCTTTAGAACAAGAACGTGGCGATACCTGTGACCATAAGGAAAGCTGTATTTAATATGGTTGTGTCTTGAGTGGATTGGTGAAAGTGGAGAGGGGGCTGTTAAAGGAGAAGTATATAAAACAAAAGAGTTTAGGCGAAGATTTAGCATGCCTTCAAAAAGCACATTTGGATTAACTTCTGTATACTTTAAAAGGCCTGTTAAACCTACATATTGTATGAAGAGTTCCCTCCTGAGATACTTTTTTTTTTTTACCATCAGTATTCCAGTTTTAGTTTTACAGGTGTGGAGAGATTGAGGCATTTTAATAGTGTCTATTAGTGATCTTTTATTTTCTTCTCCAGAAAAACACTACGATTTGGCGTAAGCCATCAGAAGAATTCAGTGGATACCTGTAAGTTCACCCATAGAGGGGAATGATGTCTGTTTGTTAGGTGTGTGTGTTTGGAGAGGGGGACCCTTCCCAAGTTTTATTAGATCTGAAGCTTCTGGCTGATGGTCATTCAGTTGGTGCATCTTCTACCCTGCAAATGATGGCGTTCACCACTGCTTTATTTTATTTACTTCATTTATGAGCCAGCTTTCTTCCCAGTGGGGCCCCAATGTGGCTTGCATTTTCTTGTCTCTATCATGTTATCCTCACAGCGACTCTGTGAGGTGGGTTAGGTCAAAAGTGTGTCACCCACAGCAAGCTTCCATGGCAGAGTGGGGATTGAAACCTGGGTTTCCCAGTTCCCTGTCTGACACTCTAGCCACCACACCGCCTCTTTGAACTGTTCTTCCCAAGCTCCCAGACATCACGATCACTATTGCATGGTGGGATACTATCGGCATTCAGACTCTGTACCTTTTCCTGTCCTGGTGGCTGGAGGCTTCTACAAACCACCTGTGATGGCTCACCGAAGGACACGTTGCAGTATCATTTTACTGAGCAGTGAGGACTGGAGCTTTACTGCCTTCTAGTGTGGTTCCCATTCTCATTAAGCTGCCTATTCAGAGCCCTGCTCAGGGTGGCTCACAAATGAAAACAAGAGAAAATCATAAAAAGACATAAAACTTTTTGTAGGGCATTGCACCTTGGTGCATAAATTTAAGAACCTTTCTATTTGGTTTCTGCTTATGAAATGAACAGTTCTTGTTTGGAATCCAAATGAGCTTCTGCCATCTGGTACATTTTCATTTTCTCAGTGTACAAACAGCAATATTTTGGCACTGAGATAATAGTGTACTGCCCTCGGCCCTCTTGCAGCATTGACTGCTGAGTGGAATGTAGTCCTGGTATTACCATAGTCACTGTTGATTTGTGAATGGGGCATAACCACCTCTGCACCATTAGTACACATTTTTAGAAAGCGTTATTTTGCTTGTATGTCATGCCTGTCATTCTCTGAGCCTGAGCACATCCTGCTATAGCACAGCTTTTGTGTGTTGGTGGGCAGGAGGAGGGAGTCACTCATGTGGGCTCTGAGGGAAAAAAGAACAAGTTGGCAGAGCCATGCAAGGTTCCTCTGTTCCATTCAGAACAAATGAATGCACCACACAGGTGTTATGGAGAGTAGCATTGTCTACTGACAGAAGAGAGAGGTTACTTAACATCAGGAATGAGAAAATAACATAAAGAAAACAAGTTAAGGTTTCTAGAAACTAAAGGAAAATAAAAGGTAAAAATTGATTGTTAATAAGGGGGTATATGCCCTTATATGATCCACTTTCAAAGGAAAACAATCTCTTGATATTCTCTTGTGTTAAATCTGCTTTTGTAGTTACAAAACACAAGGGATTGTGGAAGATATTGCCAACAGAATAGTGGATCACATACGTCCTGGACCTTATCGGCTACATTGGGACAGTCTCATGACCACAATGGATGTTGTTGAAGAGTTTGAAGAGGTAATGTGTTCTCCAGATGTATACATGGAACTATTAGCAGTGTGAGTGCATATGTTAATTAGCATAGCAGTTGCAACAAGCTTTACTAATTTGCCATTTGTTAGTGAAAAGTTTACGTGCACAGACATATTTTCACAGACTTTGTTTCTTTGGCTCTGAATGCCCTCAGAATTCAACTCAAAAGTCTGTGTGACTGATTATAAGGGTCTTTGGCCACATACGAGAAATGCTCCTTTTTTGCCATCAAGTCACAGCTGACTTATAGCAACCCCGTAAGGTTTCCAAGACAAGAGATGTTCAGATGTGGTTTGCCATTGCTTGCCTCAACATAGCGACCTTGGACTTCCTTGGTGGTCTCCCATCCGATTCCTAAGCAGAGCTGACTCTACTTAGCTTCTGAGATCTGATGATATCAGGATAGCCTGGGCCACCCAGGTGAGGGCACAATAAATAATACTACTTTTAAAAAGGCAATATCTTCAGCCTCAACACTGGTTCTGAAACCAGATGCAGTAACCTTGGTAAGGAAATTGTCAGACAGCAGAGCAGGTGGTGCACTGACAAAATCCCAGTCTGTCCACCATCGGCTACATACACCAGAATGCTGCCCAGTGAAGCATTCAAAGGTCAATGGAAGCCCAGTCGGTGACAGGGACTCCCCCTTCCTGGCCATCAAGCTGAGGCTGCTGCTGCACCAAGAAACCAGGGAAATGATTCCTCCAGGGAGATGATTCCTCTCATTTCATCTCAGTGATACATGCTGTCCTTCTCACCCGGAATCAAGTCTGCATATTAAATTATTTAAACATTCTTGCCTTTGCTCAGGACTGCTCATGGATCCCGCATGGCTGGAGGGAAGGCTATTGAAAGCGGGTGCCAAGAGCTGTGATCTGGGAAGTTCTCTGTTCAGATCTTGCCTCTACCATGATCACTAGCTGGCCTTAGGCAGCTGTTTTCTGAGCCACATCTGGGAAGCATAGAGCTCCCGTGGCTCACCCGAGGCTTCCTTCCGAAGTTGCGGTTTAAAAAACTAGTACCTCCTTTATCTTCTGCCTTGCCCCCTTTCCCCCTATCTATTTGCCTCTCGCCTCAAGCCGTGTGCTCTTTGTTGCTTTCTTCTGGCTGCTCTCCTCTTCTCTGCACGACTCAAATCTTAGCGAGCTGCTAAGTTGTGGTTTTTTTTATTAAACTAAAGTTTGCACATGCCCCGTTGGGTGCTTGTGCGCATCCGTCGAGACTTGGGGGGAAAAAACCACCTTTTAGCTAGGGGACATGGGCGGGCGCTGGAACTACCTCCGGAAACGTGATCAGACGCTCGCCCTTGTCTGAGCCTCAACCCTCCATGTGTACTGTGGTATGTAATGCTGACCAGCTTCTTCTTGTAATTCTGAAACACTCCTTTTTAAAGAACTGCTGCAAGATAATATATGTGAAGCACTTTGAACACTGATAAATGCTAGGTACTACTACTGTCAAAGTGCATCTAACATATAAATATATCAAACCTAATAAAATTGGGGGAAAGTGTCAGGTGCTTGTCAACCTTTGGGCTCTCCAGCTGAAATAATGGAAGATGGGTTCTGGCTTTCTTCTTATTTTGCAATGAAAGAGGATTACTGTGTGCACATTTCCCCATTACTTCTTAAGTAAAACCTGTGGAGTAACTTTTTTTAAACTGAAAATTTAGCTAAGGGATTGCAAATGATCCCTGGGGTGGCCTCATTCGCACTGTCTCTCTCACATACACACACACAGTTACACTCTGATAATTCCTGGGGTAGGCCAGTTCTTGACAATTACACTCCCACAGCATGGCTACACCCATGATTGATATGACCAGTTTGGCATCTAACACTGAGCAGCTTTTTCTAATCCCATAAACATTTGTGTAAAGACAAGATTAGCATCCTGTGTGCATGTACACAACCTGACTTCTAATGGAGTGCTATCTCACAATACCTGCCATAATTATAGAGGCATTACCTTTCCAGAGATCTGTGGATACAGCCAGTTTCCAAAGTTTCATAAGAGCATAATAAGAGCCATGCTGGATCAGACCAGTAGTCCATCTAGTCCAACATCCTGTGTCACACAGTGGCCAACCAGTTCCTCTGGATGGCCAACAGTAGGGCATAGGTGCTGAGGCTTTACCGTAATATTGCTTCCTGGCTCTGCGATTCAGAGGCTGACTCCGTCTGAACATGGAGGTTCCCCTCAGTCACCATGGCTAGTACCCATTGATAGGTTTGTTCTCCATGAATCTATCTAATCCCCTTTTAAAGCTGCTTATTCCTGTGTCCATCACTACATCCTCTGGCAGCGAATTCCACATTTTAATCACTCTGTGTAAAGTACTATTTCCTTTTGTCCATGCTGAACCTACTGCCCATCCGTCTCACTGGGTGCCCTTGAGTTCTAGTATTTTGGGAAAGAGAGAAGAATTTCTTTGTCAGCTCTCTCCATCCCATGCATAATTTTATAAACCCTTATATCATGTCCCCCCTTAGTCATCTCTTTTCTAAACTGAAAAGTTTCAGACTCTTCAGCCTTTCCTCATAGGGAAGGTGCTCCGATCCCCTAATCATCTTGGCTGCCCTCTTGTGCACGGTTTCCAGCTCTGCAACGTCCTTTTTGAGATATGGGGATCAGAACTGTACACAGTATTCCAAGAGGCTGCACCATAGATCTGTACAGGGACATTACGATACCGCTGCAGCACACTGGGTTGACACTTTCATTAAGTTATCTACTACAACCTCAACCAAGATCTTTTTCCTTCTCAATTTCAGCAAGTTCAGACCCCATTAGCCTATACTTGAAGTTGGGATTTTTTTGTCCCAATGTGCGGCATCACCTTATACTTGCCAGCATTGAATTTCATTTGCCACATTGTCACCCACTCTCCCCAGTTTGTAGAGGTTCTCTTGAGCTCTTCACAGTCTGCCTTGGTTTTCACCATCCTGAATAATTTGGTGTCCTCTGCAAACTTGGCCAGTACACTACTCACCCTCAGTTCCAGATAATCGATGAATAAGTTAAGTAGTACTGGCCTTCTGGGACCCTACTGATTACTTCCCTTCATTGTGAAAACTGTCCATTTATTCCTACTGTTTTGCTTCCTATCACTCAATCAGTTTTTAATCCAGTTTTTAAACCGCCTCTCCCCCTATGAGCCCCAAAGGGCTTTATGATCTGCCAACCAACATCTTTTGGTGGTCCCCGGCCCCAGGGATGTCTGCCTCGACTAGGGCAAGGGTCTTTTCAGCCCTGGCCCCTATCTGGTGTAATCAGCTCCCATATGAGATCAGGACCCTGAGGGACCTTTTACAGTTCTGCAGGGCCTGCAGACAGAGCTCTTCTGCCAGGCTTTTAACTAGGGGATGGACATCCCTCCCTCTCTACTGGGCCTCCCCTCAGTGGTTCAGAATTGTATTACCATCTAAGGACCAAATCTTGAAAGAGATTACATCTATGAGGCTTTAACTATAATTTGCACTGGATGGATGTTGTTGTATTTTATTGGTGTTTTATTTATTTATTTATTTATTTATTTATTTTATTTAACTTATATCCCGCCCTTCCACATGGGCTCAAGGCGGCTAACAAGAGGCAAATGCCATACATAACACTAAGACCAAATAAAACAATCTGATTACATTATACATTTAAAATTGGTGCTCACAACAATATATCATCCAAGATGGGGACTCCAATACAATGTTTCCGAAGGTACTACTGTCTCGTCTTGATCAGTCTGCACTCTGCCCATTCTCCATTTCCAAGGCCAGTTCACATCGCCAAAAATGGCAACGCGATGATGGTATAGTGACAGTGGCGGCTCCTACTCAAAAGCCTGGTGGAAGAGCTCTGTCTTACAAGCCCTTATGTTTTAACTGTTTTAATTTTTGTATACTGTATATTGTTTACTAAATCTGATGGAACCTGCCCTGAGCCTGCTATGTGTGGAGGACGGGATATAAATCTAATAAAATAAATAAATAAGAGAACCGTCTCTCTTATCTCATGACTAAGTTTACTCAGGAGTCTTTGCTGAGGTACCTTGTCAAAAGCCTTTTGAAAGTCCAAGTATTTGGTGTCTACTGGGTCACCATTATCTACGTGCTTGTTCCCTTTCTCAATGAACTCCAAAAGATTGGTGAGGCAGGACTTCCTTTTGCAGAAGCCATGCTGATTTCCCCTCAGCAGGCTTTGTCTCTCTACATCCCCCCCAAAAAGAGGGGGGGAAATCTAAATCAACAAAGCACAAACCTCCAAAGGAAGTTTAGAAAACTTATTGAGGGCCAAAAATTAAAAACGTAAGTAAGTGTACCAAAGAGTGTTTATTACAAAGACATATAAAAACCTAGTAGGGGCCCAAATAAAGCCTCATAAAATGTTCAAAGTTACAAATACACACAAAAAAGGACGGTGTATGATCTGACATGTTTCGGCTCACAAGAGTCTTCTTCAGAGGTCAAATAGTGCAAAATACAACAAACAACAGAATCCCTGTAACACATGTAAGGCAATTAACAATAAATAAAATAGGACAAAAATTGGAATGTTAGAAGAGATTGGATTTATATCCCACCCTTCACTACCCAAAGGAGTCTCAGAGCGGCTTACAAACTCCCTTCCCTTCCCCTCCCCACAACAGACACCCTGTGAGGTAGGTGGGGCTGAGCTCTGACAGAAACTGCTCTTTTTCAAGAACAGCTGTGCCAGAACTATGGCTTGCCCTATGTCAGCCATCAGGTGCAAGTGGAGGAGTGGGGAATCAAACTCTGTTCTCCCAGATTAGAGTCCATGCACTTAACCACTACACCAAACTGACAGACAATGTATGACCTGACACGTTTCGGCTCACAAGAGCCTTCTTCAGAGGTCAAATAGTGCAAAATACAACAAGTAACAGAGTCCCTGTAACACATGTAGGGCAATTAACAATAAATTCATAAATAAATACCTTCCAGTTTAGGTCCTAAGAGTGCAAATAAAATTGCCTTGTCAGGGACAATGTGCCATCAAAATGTATTTGCACTCTTTTGCACCTAAACTGGAAGGTACATATTATCTCCAGTATATACAACTACTTCTGACACAAGGCCAGATATATTTGTGGCCCCAAACAGAAACTTTTTTGGTGTGCCATTCAATTCCATACTGGAACATTCCAATTTTGGTCCTAATTTATTTATTGTTAATTGCCTTACATGTGTTACAGGGACTCTGTTGCTTGTTGTATTTTGCACTATTTGACCTCTGAAGAAGGCTCTTGTGAGCTGAAACACATCAGGTCATACATTGTCTGTCAGCTCTGCAGGTGCCATGGACAGGGGTGGGTGGGGGAGGATGCTGAACACTAGATAAATTGCCTTTGTCTGTTTCTATGGATGTTTAGTTTCTCTTCTCCCTGCATCCTTATCGTCTGTTAGTCTGAGTTGGTGACCTTGGTACCTTGTTACTCCTTCTTCCTGGGAATGCTTAGGTAGGCTTTTGCATGACTCCCGATTGGACCCCAACCACCCACTGACCCTTTTGATTTCTGTATATCACTAGCCTGCGCACGCTTGCTTTTAGTTCTGACAATGAGTGTATGCCCAGAAGACCTATCTTTACTGTACTCAATAAATGTAAACTTCTTGAAGGATCGTTGTTGAGGACTAATTGCTGTAGGGCTCTGACACTGTCCTTTTTTGTGCATATTTGTAACTTTGAACATTTTATGAGGCTATATTTGGGCCCCTACTAGGTTTTTATATGTCTTTGTAATACATTCTTTGGTACACTTATGTTTTTAACTTTTGGCCCTCAATTTTTTAAACTTCCTTTGGAGGTTTGTCCCTCTGCATACCTAACAATTCTATCTTTGCTTACACTTTTGACAAATTTGTTTGGGATAGATGTTAGGCTGACTGTTCTGTTTTACTTGTTTCTATGTCTTCTATGTTAGCCGATCTTCCTGGGAATGCTTAGGTAGGCTTTTGCGTGACTCCTGATTGGACCCCAACCACCCACTGACCCTCGTATTCCTTTGGCTGTGGCTAAATTTCTGGCGGCGGCAGCTTCTATACACAGAGGTGTTGTATAAATGATACCCCTTAAACTGGTATGTTGCTTTTATCTTGCAGAATTGCTGTGTGATGCGTTATACCACTGCTGGCCAGCTGTGGAACATCATTGCACCAAGAGAGTTTGTTGATTTCTCTTACACAACGGACCATGAAGATGGGCTTCTATCATGTGGTAATCCCTCCTTAAACATATTTATCTTAGAGTCAAATCCTATAAGGTATGCCTAAGCACATTGAAATCAACTCTGCATAGGGCTGAGTTGCTGTTTGCAACAGGTGATTGGATTGTCACACACATGTTCAAGGTCAAAAGCATTTTTAAAAATAGCGTGATAGTTATAGCCTGGCTGCTCTTTTTCAGGGTGTAAGTGCAGTATAAAAATTGTTAGTAGGGTGTGGCTTCTGAATAATCCCTGTATTTGAGACAAGGCTGCTTTCCACATGGGGATGGGTTTAGGTGGCCTCCAGATTGCTGCTGCAGCTTCCAGTATAGCACAGAGGCAACAGGGGTTCCATGTGGTAGGTTTCCTCACATTTCCCTGGCCCAGTCCCTCCACTGCACCACCAGGGGCTGCTTGATGTTGTTGTTAAATGGCCATGAATGGAAAAATAGGTGTTCCAACCCACTAACACATTTTGTTTTGAAACAGGTATTAGCCTAGACTATGGTGAAGTAAGGCCTTGTTTTGTCCGAGGATTCAACCACCCCTGCGGCTGGTTCTGTATCTCGCTCAAAGATAATCCTGGGCACAGCCTCCTGACTGGCTTTATCCAAACGGATCTGCGTGGGATGCTCCCCCAGGCTGCGGTGGATGCTGCCATGGCTAGCACCCTGACGACCTTTTATTCTGATCTCAGAAAAGCTCTGAAGGCATAACGGGGGTCCATTCTTGCAGCATTTTAAAAAAACTCAGGGTACGCCAAAAGCTTCCTGCATGAAGGCCAGCAGTGTTTTCCTTTGAGATGCCAGGAGCTGCACAGATCAAATGGAAGCGTTTCCTCTTAGGGCCCAGGGGGCTTCTTTGGACTGTAGCTGTGGAAAAGTCATAGAAATGTTTCAGATAATGTCCAAAGATCTGCACGCACCCTAGCTCAAGACAGTGTTATGTTCTTTGCTTTCTTCTCTGAAACAAGCGCCCAGCCCACAACAATTTAAGCTGAGATAATGGGAAACATGCTGTGTTCATCTTGTGGATTTGAAAGGGACTCGGTTGGCTTACATTTAAGCCCTTAGAGCTAACCACGCTATGGATCAGTTCTTTTGTTTGTGAGTGGGCACACAGCCCAATACCACAAGGGAGATATATCCGCAAATTCCCTTGCCGAACTGGGAATATTGTGTGCTGATGGTGTAGTCAGACATAAGAATGTGAGTTTGCATTTGAGGCTCTTGCAGTTATGAGGAATCCACAGTGTGGATAGAGGAGCAATATCCCCTCTAATTCCCCCCCCCCTTCTGAGCAGAGCAGTTCACATTCTGAGCAGAATATAACTGCTGCAATCTTAAAATGGGCAATGGGCAGTGCAAGACCCTACGTGGCTCCAGATTGCTACTGAGCGGGGCTTCCTGTGCTAATGAGCGGCTGCTCACGCACACACCTTAGAGGGAACACTGAAGGGGAGTCATATCTAATACATTGCACTGTGTTTAGGAATGGCACTTTCCCAGCCGTTGTCTTGGGCTGTGCATCTGGTTCCACAAATGAAGCCCGATTCTTCTGAGGAGAAAGGTGGTCTTGCCACTTTCTGATTGCTGTTTGTCCTGTATTTTATGGCCTTCATTTTCAAAATGCAGGGTTAAAAATTGTATATCCAGGAAACTTTCTTCAAGACTTGAGATTTATATGTGGTTTGTGTGATTGGTTTCTATAGTTAGACTTCTACATTGTAAAAAAAATATCTTTTTATTTAACCAGTCTTTGAGTATTGGAGCTAATTTTTTTAAAAATACGAGTACAAAATGCATCTGATTTGAATGGTCTGCACTTGAGGGAATACCGATGTTTGTGGCTGGGCTTTGAAAAGAGCCATTCTTCTCTTGTCGCCTGTTCCAGCCTTGGGGCTTAAGGGGTGCAGCGCTGATCCTTACTCTTTCTCCCAGATCTGGAGCTGTGCAGTGCAGTCCTGAGCATGCTTGTAAGCCCCACTGACTTCAGAGGTGGTGACTCCCTAGTGTGCATGCTTAGGACTGTAGCCTTAAAGTAGGTAAAGTGATACTTTTGACTCTTTTATTTGGACCAATTTAGGTTGGGTGGGGGTATGTGGGCTTCTGAGTTCCAAAAAACTCTTTGTAAAGAGGTTTGCCAAACGCAGGCCTGCTTTCAAGTGTGCCTATATAGAGAAAATAAGACTAGAGTGCCGTAGTCTTGTGCAGGGGTCCCCGGTGTAGTGCCCGTGGGCGCGATAGGGCCTGCTGACACCTTTGCTGGCACCTGCTAGATGTTCTAAGACAGTGGGCAGGGCCAGATAGGGTTTTTGCCCAGCAGGATTGGCTGTCTTTAGAAATGTCGCTTTGGCGACAGCTGCCACCACAGCACAGGGATCACCACTGCATGACTGAAGGTGATCTGTGTGTACGCAGGAAAACATTTTAAAACAATTTTAAAACAAATGTTGAAGAACTACTGTTAGAGTGATGCTTAGCCTTGTTTGCTGGCATCTTATGGTTGACTCAGTCTCCTGGGGTAGCCATTTTGTGGTTGTGCCCACCATCCTGTGTCAGAATTCCAAAGATGACCACCGGCTCGAAAAGGTTGGGGAGTTCTGTTCGAGAGCAGATTATTAAAGCTGCTAAATTGTGAACTGGCAGCTGTGGGACAGAAGCCAGGAATAGCTTCTTGACCTCCTGCCCCTTAATCATACAGTAGCACAAAAGTAGCAAGGGCCAGACTGCACATGGAAGCTTTCCTATGATGCAGACTGCATCCAATGCATGTGCAAGAATCTGCACCGAGTGGGGTTACACCGTATCTAGCCTGAGAGAGTATCACATGGTGCTTGCCCTCATTCACAGAACTGTAAATTCGGCACAAATAATATGAGCCCTCTATTAGTCTAGGCAACCCTTCTTGAAGTGTTACATGAATGCAGGAGACTGGTGACTGTTCAAGTTATGCTGATTAGAAAGATTTAATTTCCTAGGAACAATCTTCCCACAGAACTGATTTTTAAAAAGACAGTATAAGCTCACAGTAGTTTAATCGAAGTTATCTGAACAGCTGTGCACTAAATAATTGTTCATTTTAGAGGAGCACTGTAGTTAGATGTTCACTGTGGCCAGAATTCAGGGGGCCATGCATGAGCATTTCTCTGTTTTAAGGGCTGTGTGTGGGTGTACACGTAGGTGTGCCCAAGCAGCATTTATTTCCTGTAAAAAAATAGCTTAAACCAAATGCCCAAACAGCTTTTTAAATTTAAGAGCAGTGAAGACCGTGTGTGGGGTTACCAACTGATGAACTTCAGTGGGAAGATATGTGCTACCTTGTGTGTGAGCGACCATGAGACTACTGCTCTTTGCTTGGCACTAATCAGTTTCAGTTCTGTGCATTCCTTACCAGCCATTTATCGAGCAAGTGCCCATGATCCTCTCATACCCATATTCCATACAGAGCTCCAAATTATGATGTTTCATCAGGTGTGTGTGTGGGGGGGGGAATCTCATCTTCACTGCAAAAACATGTTCTGGTGTGAGGACTGATTCACATATAATAAATAAGTTCTTTGTTGCAGTGGCTCCAGAGAATAGTGCTACCTTCATGCAAATTGTGGTTGTCACATGTACAATACCCACCTGTGGTGTTGGTTCACACATATGGCCTCTGCTGGATTGGGGAAGGTGATTGTGTGAGCTGCCCTGATTTTTGTACACTTGGTTCTCCCATCTAGCTAGAAATGTATGTGCAGGCGCATGCATAGTATCCTGAGCTGGACTAGAGCATCTGCCTAGAATAGCTCCTTAATTAGTGATGATACAAAAGTCTAATTAGTCAACCTATTTTCTCTTATGAAATGACTGGGTGCCCACTTGTTGTGTTAAAGGGCCCTGGATCAGCTTGGGTTAGAGAACTTGGCTGTGTATTTCAGAAGAGGAACACGGGAGTATTTGTAGTATAAGGAATGAGTGCAATATATCTTAGAGCTTTTGACTAAACTCAGGAAATCTAAAGGGCACAAGTATAAGTTATATTCATTAACCCTTGTTTGTAAAGGATATTTGCAAAACTGATCTGGGCAAGTTGTTTACAGCTAGCGAAATGTGTTGACTAGCTACGTGTTGTTTTTCACATGTACGGGTTGTAGAGCATAAGCGTAGGTTTGGCTAGGCAATGGCAAAAACCGGAATATTTTGCATTTTCAAACATCTCTGTGATGGTGTTGGAGTGCATTAAAGTTCAGGATGGTTTACTGGTGCTAGCATTGGTTTCCATGCTGAATCCCCTCCTGTTAGGCTGTGTATAGATGATGACCACACCCCAGTCAGATTTGACAGTATGGTGTGTATAATAACGTATTGGACAGAGGGAGGTTGACTGCAGGGGACATAACTTGTTAATTCCTTCCAGGCAAATTCCAGAGAGCTGGCCTTGTTAATGCACGTGAGGAAATGAGCTCTGCATTGCGAAAGCTTATGGTACGATAAACTCATTCGTCTTTAAGGTGTCACAAGACACTCTATAACTTTGTTAATTCATCTTATCCTAGTTTCTTATCAGGGTTGCTTCCTCTGCAATATGGAGAGTAATCTGCTGGGTCTAGTCACTTTCACTCATAAGGAAAAGGAGGGAATGGTAGCAATGCCACTCTGCTCCAGAATCATTTATTGGGAGAGTGAGACAGCTTTGCACTGTTTTCTGAGGGCTATAAATGCAGATATATGAACATGTAGGTAAATGCCTATCCTTTCATGTGTTGTGTTTATTGTGTTTGAGGGGTTCTCTTTCAAAATGCTATTATACTGGAAAAGCTTGATCCATCAGACAGTCTATCTGAAGTCTGTAGTTATATTTTTGTACTTGGTTCCCTTATTATTTAGAAGCAGAGACACCTAGTACTGGGTACTTTGTTCCCAAACTTTGTGGGTTGGCTTTATAATGGTTATATGAGTGGAAGAAACTCTTGCACAGAGATCTGTCCTGATCCTGTTTGCCTCCTGCACCCCAGAATCTCTCTGCTAAGGGTCAGGGGATCCTGGTTGACAAAGTGCCCCAAGATATTGGGAGAAGAGAGAATCAGTCCGCCATGGGTCTTACATGTACACTGCAAACTCAGCTCAAGACTTGCTGTATTTTCACACAAGTGATGGAGGGTGACTTTGTCCACTGTACAGTCCTCACTACAGCCCCGAGTGCCACTAGACCACAAGATTACCTTGACCCTCAGGTGGGGGTTTCCATGGTATGCAGGGGAGCTGCATGTGAAAGGGGGAAACAGGGATGATCCCCTTATGGGGACTCACTCTACTCATGCAGCCAAGGGACTCAACCTGCTCTCAGTAGCAAATAAAACACTGTTTGTAGCAGCCATAACCTAGTCTTCGTACTGCAATAGTGACACATGTGGCTATATACAGATGTACTATGAAAATTGTAAGTAGCTGGAAGTGTAAAGTTTCAGATAGAAAAAATCCTCTGTGTTCTTCATCAACTGCTCAATTGAAAAGGGCTGGGTCCAGAGGGGCTCTTTGCCCACAGAAGAGTTTTCTGCTCAGGGAAGAGGGCACCTTTAACTCCAACCCAAAATTTACAATCTGGATCGCTTGTGTGTCCCAGACTAAAGGAGGAACCTTTGATAAATCCAACTCAATCCACTTGATTAGTATGCCTTGACACTAATTAAAGTTCATGGTACAATACACTACAGAAAGATCTACAGAGGGCATGATTCAGCCAAACTTACAAACTGGTTTGATTACTTTCAAGGACAGGTAAGCATATACTTGACTTGCTCATTCAGGTAGACGGACTGACTTTACAGTGCGTAACTTTGGCTGGCTTGTACCCAGGCATGCTACAATATCTACAAGGACATTTTGATAAGAACATTTTAAGAAATCTTTCCCCAGGACAGAGTCTTCTCATGACTCCACTTCCATTACTTGCCAAGAAAGAATTCACTTGAGAACTTTTGACAGAATCTAAAATCTCCTGATCTACTTCTGTTGATATGTTAAATTTACTTGCTGGCACAAGTGACCACGATGTCATGGAAGTTTTAAAAAAGTTGTTCCCTAGTCATTAAGATGGTGCTAGTGTTGGAATAGCACAAGGGAGCTGAGGTGTGTTTCTGTTCTGTGTTATAATTGATATGAGACTATGTTCAGTATGGAAATGAGCTGTACATTAAAGTATGAAGTTCAAAGTCTCTTTGTGTGTGTGTTAAATATGGGATGGCTTCATCAGTCATATGAAGGTTCCTCATAGGGAATCAGATCACTGGTCCAGTATCGTCTGTTCTGGTTAACAGA